TCTCCCTCTGATCAATGTTTATAAACAATGTTACTTTGTATCTTCCTATCTCCCTCTGATCAATGTTTATATACAATGTTACTTTGTATCTCTCTATCCCCCTCTGATCAATGTTTATATACAATGTTACTTTGTATCTCTCTATCTCTCCCTCTGATCAATGTTTATATACAATGTTACTTTGTATCTCTCCCTCTGATCAATGTTTATAAACAATGTTACTTTGTGCAGCAGACCCTGATTGTAAAGTAATGCCTGCTGTGGAGAGAGCTACAAGAAGCTGGTGTAAAGATAACGTCAGCAACTTATGTTAGCTATATTAAAAAAAAAAAAAAATGAAGTGATATTTTTCTAATTATATTTCTGCATTTCATAAAACCTCTTCTTCTCCCCTCGGCAGGTGTGTACTTTGACTCGTGTGTGCGTCAGATCAAGTTTGTGGATTTCTGCGGCAAGTACCGCCTCCCCCTCATGCATTATCTCTGCTCCCCGGAATGCTCCTCCCCCTGCAGCTCTGTCTCCTCCCAAAGCGAATCCGACTCGGAGGACGAGGCCATGGTGGCGGCACGCAGGATGCAGAAAGTACTTCTAGGCTGAGCCGCTCTCAACAAAAACTGACATGGACAGGAATTTCCGCCCTCTGTTGGTCGCCACACAGGTCTCCGCTCTGGACTAACAATGCGGAGCGCGTTGGCCTCCCTTTTAAAGGGCATGATTCCGGCGATGCTCCTGCTGGACCTTTCAGTACAATCTGAAGTTTATCTAACCATTTGACACGGCATATCCGCCATCTTGATGCTGGAGATTGACTGTACGTTGGCCAGCACTTCTGCCACTGTGTGCACAAAGCCAGCGGCGCATCGGCCATCTTATTCCGAATATTGACTGTACGTTGACCAGCACTTTGCCGTTGTGCGCCCAAATGTGATGCGGTGCATCGGCCATCTTGTTCTGATTCCAGAGATTGACTGTACGTTGGCCAGCACTTCCTCACTGTGTGCCCAAACATGACATGGTGTATTGGCCATCTTGTTTCTGGAACTTGACTGTACATTGGCCAGCACTTAGTCAATGTGTGCCCAAATTATGACACGGCGTATCAGCCATCTTGTACCGATTCTGGAAATTTACTGTACATCGGCCAGGAGTCCGCCGCTGTGTGCAAAGAAATGGCTTATGTGTCACTTTATGGACAAGGTAGAAGGACTGTATATGGTTGTCGTACAATAGCTGATCCGGCCCCCCCCGGGCTTGCAGCGTCTGGACTCTTATAGAAGACTTACTATTTGTGTGTCCTGACAGAACACTGGTACAGTAGAAAGGCATCATGGCACACTCACAAACCAGCATGTAAAACAACTTGTCTCACCACTAAGGACAATGACAGAGGTTTGGATACACGTCTTCTGTTGTTTTACATGCTGGTTTGTGAGTGTGCCATGACGCCTTTCTACTGTACCAGTGTTCAAAGCCCATTTCGTGTGCACCTTACTGTATAACCGGTGACAAGTTGTTGAGTGCGTTTGTCGTTTGTTTTGCCTGACAGAACACTGAACTGTGTTTTTGTGCCTAGGATGAAAGAAGCACCGATGACATTTCATCGTACATGCGTCGCTCATCGTCTGTACTTTCCTGTGCGACGCATGTACAGTGTCCGGTATTTTCCGATAGGACTGCGTCATTCTAAATCCTGAACAAAAGGCCTTTTATTACTTGTCGGTGCGCCTCTTGGCGTGACCCGGCGTCCGTGATGTTGTAGCACTTTAGACTGCCATTAGAATAGGGGCTGAAAGATGGCCGCCCCCACATCGGGGAGCATGCGTAACACCACACGGCCTTGGGGAGATCTTTTGGGGTTTTACTTCTTCTTGCTTTCCTTAATATTGGGAGAGAAGCCACCATTAATTACCATCAGAGGGATTTATATGTTCTTACAGCGGAGCTCTGGGCAGGAATAACGATGAACCTCCAGTGCTGATGTAATGTAACATAACAACTTGCTCACCTTTACCTGCGGCGTCCGATGGTCCGCTCCCCGTCTCCCCAGTGCCGGGATGTGCGCATTTCTGCATCGCGATCTACAATGCCGAAGCAATGGTGGCCGCTGGTCCTGCGTTCTATGTGATGACATCAGCAAGGAGAGAGATTTTGGGGGACGGATTGTTATAAATGGTAGTGGAGGGAAGGAAGGTATGCGGGGATATGAATCAGGGTTGTAGCTACCAC